TTTTCAGGAAATATGTTGATTGGATTTTCAATGCAAGAATTAAAGCATTACAAGAAGTCTGCAACGTCGTAAGTGGTGATACGCGGTTTTGCGCCCCGGCCAGTGATATTGCACACGAAAACATACTCCGAAACTAGGAATGCAATATAGAAAGTGATTAAAACATGGGTAAACAAAGGCTAAACATTTTTAAAACACTAAAACGGCAGAACTTTTCGAGCCGTTACTAGCTCATTTTCAGCCATGAAAATAAAAAAAGGAAAATTAAATAAAAAATTAGAAGACGACCTGACTCCAGACACTTATTGAGTGAGTTAAGAGGGAACGTAAAAACGTTTGGAGTCAGGTCGCTTCTCAACTTTTTATTTATTTTTTAATTGATTTTTTCGTTTTTGCAGCTGAAAAGGAGCCGGTAGTGGTTCAAAATGTTCCGCCTTTTTGAAATTTAGTTTTATTATTTAAATTTAGTTTAATTTAGTTTTTAAATTTTGTAGCCTCACTGGAAACAACACATTGGATCTAGAGTCCAGACTCTTGAAAACATTGACAAGAAAAAGGACTCTTGATTCAATCGGATTTTTGCTTGAATCAAAACGAAATCTGCTTAAATTAAGAGGCTTGGTTCTTGATTTAAGCTAGATTCTGATTGAATAATACGATCTGAATCCTTGCGTGTGCGCAGAAAGTGCTCGATCGCCCGATCCGTGGGTCGCGGAACTCGCGGGCGGACTGCGGTTTACATCTCACAACAGGGTATACCTATACTCGGGCAGGCACAGTATAGGCAATATGCACGGCGAAACGTATTAGGTGCAATGGTGTAGCGTTTGAAGTATCTACACGATATCGAAGGCGCTACATCGGGCGCGCGCTCGCGTGGGTGGGTGCGCCTTCTATTGACCGCGATAATTTGAATTATCGGCGTCTGCTGATTGAAATTTTTAGAAATGCGTCCGCTTTGCTGAAAACGCTTTTTGTCAGTGCTTTTATTTTAATCAAAATGTATAAATTACTGCTTGCACACCGATTCTTGAGTAAGTAACTACAGCAATGTTTTGTTGAACATGCCTAGACCGCTCTAATTTTTTTCGTCAAAATTACCTCGGCTGCGGTTTTTCCGATGAAATTACTCCGACTACGCTGTGTAGTCGTGTGATGAGAAAATTCGTAGATTCTGCTGAAGAGAAATTTCGAGGAAATGCCAAACAATTTCGAAAATTGGTAAAATTTCCAGGAATTTCAAAGATTCCGGAAAAAGTTTCAATCAGTTGAAAAGTTCCGAAATTGTGTTTTTTTTTTTTTCTCTCCAGTGCTTGTTCACTAATGTTTTACTCTGTTTCTATCTGTATCTGTTTCTATTGTTCTCTGTTCTCTGTTTCATCTTCGATGTCCAAATGCGAATTACTTGATTTTTCCCAATTTCAAATACGATTTTCCGCTTGAAGCTACCGATATAATTCGTGCATCCTCGTTTAAAATTCACGCATCATCGATCACATCCTAAAAGCGGATTACCCTTCCACTTCATAATCAGCGGCGTGGAGTGGTTTGCGATCCATCGATGTTTCCCTATTTGAACCTGTGGTAAATAATCGATTATTAAGGTGTTCGCTGCGAACACCCTGTTTATCGATACTTTTCCGTAGGTTTAAATGGCCGATCAATCGATATATCGCAAAGTACGCCACGCCACTGATCATAATACTCGAGAAGCCAGTAAGTTAACGACCTCCCGTCCCGACCTGACTCAATTTCCATTCCGACGGCGAGATGAGTGCTTCCGGCTCAAATATTTACGCGAGTATTTAGCAGTTGCTCCTGTCTTCGTTCACCCGGGCAGCGTAATTCAATTACCGTGTATCGCGGATTGTATCCTGGCGCCGAACGTGTCCATATTAAATCCACCCGGCCAACCAAGGGCTAATCTGTGGCGGAGGGGGTGGCGGGGATGTCAAAAAAGTTAGCGCCGCTAATTAGAGTGAGAGTGAGGTTAGGACCGGAAGTAATCAACGTCTCTTAATCTGCCGGCGCATTACTGCAGCCGCTATGCACGCGAAAGCTTCCCGCTTGTTAGCAATGGTGTTGCACCTGTGTGGGACCGCGCTTGACGGCATGTTAGACTCACGTATCATTGATAAAGTTAAAATTCTTAGAGTAGCTGTTTAGAGAGAGTATTGTCGACTCCATCCCTTCAGTGCGGAGAAACTGTGCCGCTTTCTGATTTGTCATGCGAGCTATCGGCTTTCACTGAACTGCTTCATTAAATATACATATGTAGAGGTTGTTTAAGAGTTACGGAGCCATTTCAGCCGACTTTTCGACCCTCACGAAAGTGTTGAAATGGGAGGGTTAATCAATCTTGCCCATTGAAACAAAAAATATTCTTAGATATTTTCGCAAAAGTTCTTTTAAAAACAATTTTTGGTAGCCAAGCACTTTTTCGGCATTTTGATCCCCTTCCCCCTTGTATTGTTTTTGTGAACCAGGTCCCCATCCTTTAACACTTAACCCCCCCCCCCCCCCCCNGTATGGCCCTTAGGTGGTTTTGCACTTTCGCCATCGATTATAGATCGTATTCGGTAGTGGTTTGATGTATCGCTTAGTTCAAAGCAATAGAACAAATCCTCAACCAAAATGTTAGGATTTCAGTTGGAAAAGTTGAAAATGAGAAAATTCCTTACAATTTCACTCTTCATTGCCATTTTGTATTCATAAGTATCGGAAATCTATCACAAGAAGTTTGCTCCTTCAGATTATTCAATTGACTTCAGAGGCTATGTTTACATGTTGAACCGATCGATATCAATACAATCTCACCTGTTCGATGCATCGAATACGATCCATTGTCTCTAATTTCGACGTTTTTCTGCAACAGCGCAACCTAGTGGCCGTTTGACTCGGTAATCGCATCGAAGGGAATTTTTTGTAGTTTCCAGTGTTTAAGTATCAAAAATCTATCACAAGGAGTCCGTTCCCTCAGATTACTCAATTGACTTCCGAGGCTATGTTTACATGTTGAACCGATTGATATCGATACAATCTCACCCGTTTGATGTATCGAATACGATCTATATCGGTGTTTTTCTGCAACAGCGCAACCTGGTGGCCGTTTGACTCGGTAATCGCCTCGGAGGCAATTTTTGCAGTTTCCAGTAGTCATTAGTATCAACGCTCTATCACAAGAAGTCTGTTCCCTCAGATTATTTCTCAATTGACTTCCGAGGCTATGTTTACATGTTGAACCGATCGATATCGATACAATCTCAACTGTTCGATGTATCGAATACGATCCATTGTCTCTAACATCTTCGTTTTTCTGCAACAGCGCAACCTAGCGGCCGTTTGACTGGGTAATCGCTTGGAAGGCAATTTTTGCAGTTTCCGGCCGAAGTTTCGTGTGCAGAGGTCATAGTTGAGCGGAACACACTCGATTTCATGCAGGCGACGGGTCACGGGTCCCTCGTTGCAGGTGCGGACGCCCCGGCTTCGGGTTCATGTCCTTGACTCATCAATCCGGCAATTTGTCTTCTTCATGCTTTTCATTCGATTAAACTTTTATCGTTCCGTGTTTAATCAATCAGGCCGTCCGCGCTTCGGCCGCCTCGCGAGCGGACGATTTATCATCTAACAAGTTCTCGAATTATGTCGGGGGGCTCCCCGCTCCCTCTTTTTGAACCCCTCGTCCCCCGCTCGGAGGAAAAGGGGAGTCCAGGTCCCCCTATGCGCTCTCTCTTAGCCGAATCCCTAAAAAAAGCCCTTAATGCTGCCATGCTATAAGGAAGAACGCCGTATTAGCATTCGAGGGTTGCCAAATTTCTCCGGATAAAACTTGTATTCCCGAGGAAAGTCATGCATAATTTTCCTTGATATTTTCAGATGTATTAGATTGAATTGTGCACCAAAGTTTCTGGAAAATTTGGAGAAAAGCGTTCACAATTTTTCCAGTAAATTAGTTGTTTGTGAAAGGAAATTTGGCAACTTCTGAAGGCTCATACGGCGTTCTTCCATAGCACAGCAGAATAGGTAGGTGTCAATAGGTGGATAAACATTCGAGAGTTGCCAAATTTCCTTCGATGAAATGTTTATTTTGGAGGAAGTTATGAATATTTTTCTATGAAATTTTCACGAATTTGTGGGGAAATTGCGAACAAATTTTTTTGGAAAATTCGAAGGAAAGTAGTCATAATATTACCAAGAAATTTTTATTTTATCAACGGAAATTTGGCAACGCCTGAAGGTTCATACAGCGTTTTTCCTTGACACGGCTAGCTCATCGACGTTTTTGTGCCTCATTTGACTTCTTAGTACACCTTGTCTTTTACCAGACGAAGCGATGTAACTGCATTTCGTCGTTCTAAAATTTCCACTCAAGAATTGTGCTCTACTATGAAATTTTTGTACATTTATAGCTGAAAATATCAGTGATTTTTCCTTTGTTTCCACCCAGTAAACAGCATTTTGGATAGAGATTGCGAAGTTATATTTTTGTAAAAATGGAATTTTCCTAATTCCTAGACGGGGGTCCAGGCCCTCCGCGTCCTTTCATAGCCAAATTCCCCCAAAAGCCCCGCAATGTTAGCCCGTCGACCTTTTGGCCCTTCGTTTGACCTCCTACTTAAGACATCTTGTCGCTCACGTGACGGAAAGACGTAACTTCATTTCGTTGTTGTAAATTGTCCACTCAGGGATGGTATACTTTACTAGGGAGTTCTTAGAAATTTCTTGATAAAAATTTCAGTGGTTTTTTTTTAGCTTGCACAGAAAATAGCAAAATTTTGGACAGAGATTGCTGAATCACATCCTTGTAAAAATTGAATGTTTAAGTCGATTTTGCAACCTCGAATAGGAATAACGTTCCTTCGTCTAGGAGCCACCATTAATTTGTTTTTCAGGACTTCAATTAAGGGTTGAAACTTGAATTTACCCTTGACGAGAGAATGGCATTGCTCAGACGAAATAGTACACATTTCTAATCTGAGTTCGAATAAAAAACACTCAAGTTTTTGAAATTTAAATTTATTTATTAGGAACATCTCTTGGTCTGAGTTTGACGTCAAGAGGCTGCTGAGACTGTAGAACAGATTCAAATGGAGTTCTCAGATCGTCATAAGAAATGGGAGATTCCAAAATAAAATAGCGCAACATGTAGGACAGCACTATTTTCATTTCCATCATTGCGAATTTTTGAGCTGCGAATACAGAAAGAAATAAGATATTAAAACTCATTTAGTACAGCGGCATGGGTGGAGTTTGGGTGAATAGAAATTGGTGAGTGACAATGTAATTTAATGCACAGGAGACCCCATGTTTAACCAGAGGGATTTTTAAAAGCAATTCTGAAGATCAAAATAAGACTTTTTAATGAAAGAATTGTTTTTCCTGAAGTTTAACCTTACAGAACAACAGGCACACAAGTTTTAGGCTAATACTCGTCTTTTATTTTTCAACTTCTGGGGACAATTATGGGCCAATCACCTTGAGAATTCGTAGTAGGCAGTATTTTTAGTACCTAATCGGAATTTTATGTAAACAGTATATGTTAAAAGAACGCTTGCTTGAAGAGGGAAAAAGTCTTATTTTGGTCTGAAAAATTGTCCCCGGAAATCCGCTGGTCAAACCTGGGACACCCTGTACGTCAGATAATAAATCACATCTACTCGTATTTTGTGTCAAATTTCAAAGTTGTCGTAGTAAATGATAGACTGACTGTGAAACATTAGTAAGAAAATGAAATCCTCTCACCGATGCAATCTCTGGATCCAGCCCCGAAAGGTACGTAGGCGTAAGGATGCCGTCTCGCACAATTTTCTGGCCTGAAGCGATCAGGATCGAAGATGTCAGGGTCCGGGAAATTTTTGGGGTCTCGATGTAAACAGAATATGGATAAAGTTACATCAATACCCTTCGGCACGATGTAGTTTCCTGGAGATAAAGAAACAGAAATTAAAAGTATCTCTAAAAGGCACCCAAATACACTTATCTCCCGATCTTTTACTGATGATTCCACCTGTATGGGGAATCAAAGAGATTCTACACATTGTATTAAATCATTCAACGGAAAGAATTAGTTGAGGCATTTTTCGGTAAAAAGGCATATGAGACTTGCACTGCTGCTAAGATTAAACGGACCTAAGCGCCATAGGGTGAGGAAGACAGAGGGGGGCTTGTATTGGTCGCGGAATCGGGCGTCCGGCTTATTTCGTCCTATACTCGCAAAGCTTTTCCATGGCGCTAAGGTCCGTTTGACAGAACGCGCTATCCGGCATTCTAAATTCCTCAAAAGGAACTCAAATTGGCGCTTAGTTCCGTTTGATAGAAATTCGTCGAGTTATAAGTAACGTATCCGACAGTTCTACTATGACCTTTTCCCTCAATATTCTCAAAGTTTTTCTTCACTATTATGAGGAAATAATTCGACTGTGAATGAATTTCATCTGCTGCAAACGCTATACAAATTGTCCAATCTTAGCAGCATTGTAAGCCCTTTAATCGAAAAATTCCTCAATTATTAGATCATCGAGATCGGAGGTTCAGTAAATATCATGACGAGCGTCTGTAGATTAATCTAGCATGATCTAATGGTATAAATATTAAATCTTAACCACTTCAACTTCCTTCCAAAATGTTTGTCTCGCCATCGAATGTAGATGTCAGTTGTTGTTACCGAAGTTTCTATCCGTACCTATTTGCATTTTCTTACTTGAAAATTATAAATAAAACCTTTTCTTCTTCTTTTCTTCTTTTTTTGAAAAAGCGAATATTTAAAGATATTTCAAAAGTTTGGACCACTTTACCAAATTTCACATCCTCTTTGGCCCGTCTGGCCACGAGTGGACAGCTTGGAAACAAGCGAAGACTTTCCTTGATGACTTGCTCCAGGTAATGCATTTCCCGTAGATCATCGACGGTCAATCGCCTATCCGAGCCTTGGAATATGCCATAAAGCTCTCGATAGCATTTAATCTGTAAAAATGGTTCAAAAATACTTTACTTGAACTTACATAATATAAATCACGATTATTTCGGTAAGGATGGTAATGAAACACCATTTTGTAGAAATATTGTATGTGTATCGAAAAATCTGTACCTGTATCGTGACACATACATCGTAACTCATAACGTAAGTATTATCCTCTTAAAACACATTGACAGCCAAAAGAAACAACGGCTACGGGTAAAGCAAATCCTAAGTGCCTGCAATTTTTTGTGTATGCAACGAGCACGTCCGTTAAGCACGTATAGTCGCATCAAAATACTAGAAGGAGTTTATCTTGACGTTGCATATTTCCCGTCTTATCTTACCGGTGAAAGGGTGAACATTCATCAGCTTTGCATGGTATTTCCGGTGAAACTTCGCTTGATGAAGAGTTCTTTATGCAAGTTTGAAAAAATAAACTCAATGAGTTTTACTTGAAAAGATTCGAGGTGGAAGTGAAAGTGAAAAATTATAATCGAGGGGTTGTTCCTGTGGTTTTCCTATCGATTTTTGGCCGTGAACTCAGAACATTTTGGCCAGGAATCGTAATCGTTTTGGCTATCGCAATATTTTTGTCGCTCTCGGAAGAATTGTTCGCGTTCTTAGGAAAATGGACGTAAATCCACCAAAATTCACGACTGAAATAAGCTTAGACGTACATCTATAGTTTACATACAGGAAAAATAAAATCAATAACAGGCTCTATATTTTACCTGAATATCTAGATGGTTCGCCAGAAGAAAAAGTGTAAAACTCATAGAGGTCGCCATTGTTTCATGTGCCTTGAAAAAAGGTGAGAAAGAAAGAATAAAAACCAATGGTTACCTACGTTTGTCGAGTATGGGGTATAATATACCAACTATCCATTTTGAGACGCACATTCAGAATTAAAAGGTTCCGTCTTGAAATGAATTAGGATACATTTTGCAAAAAGGAACCACTCCTCCACTCATCTTTGGCTCTCCCATAAAAGCACGTATCTGCATAGGGAAACCAATGGCGTGTATGTTGTTTCTAAAATGGGCCACAAATAGTGGTTCCTTATTGCAAAATGTAATCCGATTAAATAATCATTATGAAGGTGTGCATATGTGATGGTTCATGGGAAATTATTCTTAGTCAACGGAAACCAGATTTTTAGCTGAGCGACATTTATCGATGCCATGTTTAATTCACGGATTTTTAGCTGGATAATCTTTAAAAAGCTCGTGACGCTGAAATTAACACTCATCTCTTTATTGTTTCCTTTTTTATTTTAATTGGTCAATTAGATCAATTTCTCTTTGGATCCTGTGAACGTAAAATTTTGCACTAGGGTTAATGAAATATAAATACAACTGAGAAACCATTAATTTGTTTGTCCGCTCATTTTAACGCTAACTTAAAAAAATCGTCACGTAACTCTCTGCCGAACATGTTTACGAGCCTTGTATGGACGAATTTCTGTAAAACAGAACTATGTGCATTAAGACATGAGCCCTGAGACCCATAAGAATATATGCATAACAGGGCTCACGTCAGGATGCACTTAGTTCCGTTTGACAGAAATACGTCCATATAACAATAGCGGAGACACACAACCGCTGCGTCACGGAATATAGTAACGGCTTCTTAAAAAACAATGGTTGAAATTTTTTGCACTAATTTTTGAACGCACGTTTAAGTAATTTTCATTTTAGAAGTATTAGTTTTCATCGGTTAATTTGTGCAAAAAATCTGTCTGAATATATTCGTGTAAATTCTAATGATGAAAACCATTTGTAGTGCATTCCACTTACAGCCATGACGAAAGTATTTATTTCATCTTTCACACCATCCTCTGATATTGGTGCCGTTGGCAATTTCGAAGCTTCCATCAATAATTCCAAGAAAGTTTGTTTTTTCTTTCCTAAAACAAGAGATCTGTGATGTAAATATAATTCGTACATAATCATTAGTTTTATGTTTATGTTCCGGGCTCGGCTAGTATTTAATAGTTGTGCATAAAGTAGATTGTACAATGTACGTGCGTTTTCTTTCATTTGGAAATCTTTATAGTAGAGCTGAATGAATGTAATTGAAGTCGAAGGATACAATTTTAAAAATACAAATAGGTAGTGTGACAGTTGACCTAAAGCTCATGCCCAACATATTTATCAGTAGTGAGGTTAGTTCGAATGCCAATTTTGTTAATTTAAATCTTAAGTGACTCTTAAATTGAATTTTATAGTAAGGTACGCACTTTTAAACTGAAATAAATGATTATGATTAATTAATGATGATTGAATTTATGATTAATTTTGACTCTAATTTTAATTCTTGGAATTTCTTGGCTTTGTTTCCCCGCTAAATGGTGTGGACCCAGCACCATTTCTCCACCTTGTTACACACAGTTCGGGCCACTTCTTAGTGGTTTTTTGTTTTTGTTTTTTTTTTTTTTTTCCATTTAAATGATTATGTTGAGGTCTGATTTTCTTGTGAATTTAAGTGTAAGTTTTATGCAGCATATTAAAAGTATAAGAAGACTGATTTTTGCGTCACAATTTCTTAAACTCATATCGACGGTGAAGCAACCAGACCACGTATCTCGGTTTGCGACGTTGCGGACTTCATGTCATAATTTATTTTTTGAATGAAAAACTACGCAATTTCACTTCTAAAAAACCTCCGTGCTTTTACTTCTCTGTGCAATGAAAACTCTGTGAAAACTTAAAGGAAATGCTATTGATTTGTTCTCTTTTGAAAAAATAAAATGGGAACGGAGATTTTGAAATACCGCAAACGAGATACGTGGTTTAGTAGTTCCATCGTCGATATTAAACTACGAATAATTGTTTCATCTACTAACCGACACTAATGGTTGAGCCTACCTCCGATTTCGTTCTCACGCCGCTCACAACAAAGAATTTGTTTGTTTTTTCTCCTCAAGATTGCCTAGAACACAATGCTAGGATTAGTCGAACACAGCAATGTCCAAGAAAGTTTAAAATTATATTGGTGGGATAGGGGGGCACAAGTGAAGTTTGACAAAATATTTTTATTTACTTCAACACATTTTATCATTTTATTTTCTTACTTTAATGCGTGCCTAACATACGGTTATGGCCGCACCAAACGTAGAAGAAGAGGGTTTATGGGAAATATTAACGCGGAAATTATTTCTTTTCTCAGGAAAAATTGCACTGGTCAACTAAAGTCTCTGATAAACCAGTGAGGTGAGGAAAATGTTTAAATTACGACTCCACACTTCGTGGATTTGACCTCAAATAACTCGAGCTTTCGCTATATCTACTTTCCACGTGTTCAATTATAAAATAAATATAAATCTATTGGGCTTGAACTTTACCCGCTTCGACTTTTTCTTCAGAAGACTTCTAAATTTACCACACATCTCATGTGAGAAAAAATCACAGAGAGTGAGAAATATGACATCAAACTAATGACAGGTATTAAAATCAATCAGGAATTATCGAGCGTCTAGAAAAAAACCAATGTGAAATACCGTATCTGTAAGCTCGCAAATTGTCTTGACATTAGTTTTCAGTCTCCGTCCAAAGGATGTACGGTTGAAAATTGGATCAAGCCAGTAACTAGGGGTGGTGAATCTCACCATGAGAATGTATGCAGCCCTGAAAAAAATAATATTTATCGCTGCTAAAATGGTTTCAATTGGGGGATAAGATATCATTCATAACAAACCGACCAGCTACCAGAATAATCGAACAAACTTCAAACCTCAATATGTTTACTATCCCAAATCTGAGGAACATTTGAAAGCGTTCTAAAAATAATTTATTTTATAATTTTTGAAATTTGTGACATTTTTTTTTCAACCGTTGTGGATGTTTTATTTTCCGCTCTCCCTCTTTTCAATAATGCGCGCATTAATTTTTGACTGCGAATGCGATGATCAGCATTTCAGAAATTAATTTTTAGGACAAAATATTGGATAATCAGAAACTTAGTTACTCACTCTTCCATCGCTCGAACGTATTCCAGTTTTGGGTTGTTTAGTGCATCAACTTTGAGTCCCAGGCCGGTCTCTGAAAACCCATCAAAACTGATTTACGTGTTATCTACTAAACCTTGGAATGGAAAAAAGTGACAAAAATCTCATCGTCACTGTGATTTACTTAATTTTAAACGAATACATATTTCTTGTATCTTGAAAGTAATTAACAGAAAATTATTGTGTGTTTCAGGTAAGTTCCACCAGTTATCCAGTTCCATCTTAATTTCTGGATGAAATTTTGTGGAGATCGTTCATAAGGTAACAAATATGTATTTACCTTCCATTATAATAAAGCAAGATTGAACTAGTAGATATAAAATCAGACAGTCGGAATAAATGACAGGTATAAAACTACCTATATTTGACCACAACAATCTGACATTTAATGTACAAACACACAATTACGGTAATTGTGTAACCATCCTGTGTCATATTTGGAAGTGAACTATACTACTTGTAACTCATTGTTCAGATTACTTTCAAAGAGTCCGTCGAAACAATAGATTCCCATTTTTCAAGGCAACTTGACAGGTGTCACTTTCATAAATAATTCGCCTCCTTGCACTGAAGGATATTTACCATAGACAATCATGTACAATTTTTTAGGGATTCATTATGGCTAGAAAACTTCGATTTTCGTAAGTCTATCAGAACAGTATTTTAAGCATGTAATATTTTCTCCCAGTCAATACTTTGTCCAGCAAAAATGAAAACTTACCGCAAATGTTATCCAAAGAAACTAAATGCATTATCATATACATATTTAAAGGGGTCTCATTTTTATGTTCCTGCAACTTTTGAATCAGCGTGATAGAGTTATTCACCAAAACCCCACACAGCCCGTCCACAATATTTTGATGAAACATAGGAGTGATCAACTTCCTGCGCTTGTGCCAAAAAGATCCTGAAATAAAGAAGAAATCAAATGAAATATTTCGGAACCATCCGATTCTAATTTTTTAGGGTCGATTTCATACGAAAACATCTTTACAGATCACTACGTCAATTTTATGGTCTGGCATTCCATATTTCTATCGGAGGACTCTGTCTCCCAGCTGCAGGGAAAAATATTTTGGATATAGTAATGGGCCGCTCTTGGACTTATTTGTACAGATTTAGGTCAAATTTTTTCGTCCTCTCTGATTTCGACCGGTTTTTTTTTCCAAAATGTGACAAAAAGCTCGCTTTCTACCGACAGGTTTTCGTCTTTATGGCCCCTTAAGGGTTAAAGAGCTTTCCGGTGGCACCATAGAGTACAATAGAATCGCAATCGCAATGTACTGGAGCGCTGATGAAGTCAGTCCACGCACGGGCCGTTTTGAGCCCTTTGTTCGCCGAAAGTGTGAGCCAAGCCAAGCGGCATCTTTTAACGCGCGGCTTATGGGAAAATCACGGACCGCGCGGGGTTTTTGAGATTTTTAATTTTAATGGATAATTATTTTCGCGAATTTTGGCAAATTATGTTGACCTAAGTTATAACAACTTGATAGTAAAATAAGAGACTCGATCGTAAAATAAGAGATTAACTCTCCTTTATCAACTTAGATTAGATTTAATCATAGATTAGGTAATTTTACTAGTTTGAGGCAGTGACTGCATGATTCATTAATCGAAATAGTCCTGTGTTTATATTGTATTTATATGCAAATAAATTAATTTAAACAACAACAAAAAGTTATAACAAATTGAAAAATGTACGAAACTTCTAGTTTTTATGAAATGAATTTTATACCTGTATTTTCTGAACGAGGCCCGGAGCTGGGACCCCGCGCAGCCGCGTATACGGCATCGCCAGTCGCCGCACACTAGTCTCAGGAGCACTGAGCAAAACAGCCTTAAAAATCGACTTCATCGGCGCTCCAGTCCGTTGCGACTCAATTGTTTTCTATGGGTAGCACACAGTGGGGCGAGCAGTGGCGATTCTGCAAGTTGGCAACACTGTTTTACTCCATTCAAATCCATTAAAAACATCGATTTTCGGTGAGACAAGCTGCCTCAACGAGGATCGATTGTTTCACGTACATTTAAAATGAGGGAAAACAGTGTCGTCAACTAATAAGAGTCGCTACTGCGGGAGCAATTCAGTGGGAGAGATCGGACAAGATGTGGAAACTTTTTAACTTTTAATTCCTCGTCAATCTGAAACGTAGAAGTATAAGAGTAGCTCGACTGTTTTTCGTCTAAAATTATCTTTCTTAATCTCTTTTCAAAATTCATTTTGTGTTCAAATTCATCAAAACTCTACTGTTTTATTAGTCAAACACTCCATGTCCAATCTTTCCCAACAGCGTGACTCTCTGTGCGGCAGTGAGTCAGTGGACCGTGAGTTGCGTTATAAACTTATAAACTGAAGCGAGAGCACGGTTTGATACGAAGGTCCTGTGGCGCAGCGGTTAACGCATAATCACTCTGAGATTAAGACCCAGGTTCAAATCCTGGCAGGACCCGGAAATTTTTCTATCTTTGCTCCTGAGATAGGAAGGGCATCATGCGAAAAATTAGTTGAGAATGTGTTGGGAAAGGAAACGCACGATCGCTACGAGGCATCATGAACCCCTGAATTTCAAAAACGAAATCCATCTCTCCTTTTAACTTCCAAGGGGGAAGGGACACTATTTTAACACATTTAAAGGACACTAATTTGTCATATCTTCAGAGGAATAATTCCTATCAGAAATCCGGTAGGACTCAAAAATCATTTAATACAAAACCATTTTCCAAACAATACGCACCGTTACTCGTAATCAATCCAGTACCGCACCAAGGTTTTATAAATTTGTAAAAATTTGCTTTATCCTCCAAACTTTTTTCATGGAAGAATATCTGAAAAATTGACATTAAAAAGCATGATTCGAAGAAAATTAAATCGATACCTAAAAGCGGGAGACACTCATCTCTTTTTGCAGAATTGGAAATCTTCGTTTTTTTTTAATTATACGAGTACATAACCAAAAAACTACTTAATCGACAGTTTTTCTCGTAACTTTCTACAATTTACTCTTTTCATTCAAAAATATTCCACAAATACTTCAAGGAGATTCTTATATGTCTGTTATTTTTTTAATTATGTAAAGTGTAAAGGGAGATCTCCATAGATGTTATAATGGAGATAACATCTTTTCACTTAAGCCGTTTACTTGGTACAACACATAAGTATTACACATTTTCATGTGTTAACTTATGGATTACTTACTAGTCTATTTCTGAGTCCTCTTCCTTCTATAAAATGAAGAAAAAATCGTGCACCCTTTTAAGAATTGCCATAAGTTTTGCGAAAGAATTACTTGAAAAAAGAGCTATGGAGAAACTCACCTGTGCATAATCAGCCTCTGCTATCGTGACGTCAGGGAACCATATGAGCCAGCGACGAAATATTCCGCCATATTGCGTGTACTGGTTATAAACATACGTCGGGACGTCTGTTGAATACATGCAATCATTTAAAATTGAAAAGTCTACAGATGCTTTAAATTTTATTCTTTTTCTTTTTATTCCCTTTGCAATCTCCTTTCCCTCGTTTGAGGTGCATGAAGAACGAAGACTCCAGTTAAAAAAAACCGAACTTTGATTTTCAAAGTTTTCGGTCCAGAAATCCGAAATGTTTGATTTAGAAAGTGAACCTTGGTTGAGATAACACAGTTATGGGGGGGGGAGGGCAATGCATTGCCCCGTTTCCCCTCTCTCGGGGGGGGGGGGGGGCTTTNAAGGGCGCAGAGAGGGGTCATACCAAGGGGGTCTAGAAGGGCATTCTCTCAGCTCCAGAGGGTTCAGTGCGAGCCTCGTCGAAAAAATTTAAAAGGTTAAAAGGTCTCAGGAGGGATTTCAAGCTGTCTTTACCGAAAATTCTGATGATGATTGGCGGAAGATGATAGCAATATCATGACGTTATTCTGCATAATCCCTTATAATTTTGGGGGTCAAGTGGAAGGGCAACTCTCCAGATCCCTCTCGTCATTTTGCCTGAGAGAAAGCTATTGCTAAAGCTCCTAAGATGATTGCATCAGAAGCAAATTATCGAAAATAATGAATTTTCAGTCTACGTAAACATTTTATCGCAAATTCACTGGGAGCCTCAGATTGTTTAAAATGAAAGACCATTCATCAGATACTGCTCTGAAAGAGAGAAAGATGGAAAGGAGGCAAAGATGAAAATAGTGCAATTCATCCTCTTGATTTCAGAATAAATTCACCGTGTTTGAAAGCGAATTTTTTCAATGACACCTAAAACTGAATTATTTTGATGCATAATTCTATTGATTTCACGGTAAAAATACAATGGAATGCGGTCATTTTATCGCAAAATTTGGCGAATTGTGAACTGCACGATGGAGCAAGTTTTTCTATTATTTTCGATTTGCTACATGATGAGAATTGAAACAAAAACTTACCTGCAGGCTTAATAAAAGCAAGCGAGGTGTGTCCCAGAATCCAGCTTTCAATGGGTGGGCCAGGTATTTTTTCCACGAGCTGATATCGTTCGTAAAAACGCGACAGTATTTCGATCAACCATCGCACTGTATAACTGATAACGGCAGTTATTAGTATAAAATAAATCATTTTTGCATTCCATCGGTCACGATCACTGTTTGAAAAATTATCGAGTTTATTTAATTCGAAGTAAAGGAAAATGCATAGTTTGCAATAATACTGATTTTCAAGTTTTTAAAGCTAGACCGAGGTAACCAAGCAGGTATAGGTTATGTGTTAAGGACGGAGATCGTAGGAAAGTTTTCATGTAAGCTCTAGAGAAAATGTTTTGATTTGAAAGTGGCTGACGCCGGTTTTAAAGATAACATTTTTGTGCGAGTAATGGAGTGCGTTTCAGAAAGAATTATTGCATAAATTCGTCTAAAACCGACAACGCCATTCATGAAACTTTGAAGGAGTGGGAGATGAACGGATAGACAGACCAAAAGTGGTCATCAAGTATTGAGTGTGTCGGCAACCGACAATGCGAAATTGAGCGGTAAATCTTACTTTTTTGTGCTAAGACTCTGTATCTTGTTGATATCCGTAAGGAATGCGTCTAAAATAAAGGGTTCTGATAGACTGTTCAGTTTATCACTGGTTCCTGATCAACAAAGATGCCGATTTTCAGACGTAGATTCACGCATGTGAGAAAAGTACTTCCTGGAAGACATTTTTTATAAAAAAAAAATTGACTGTAATTTCATCGTGTTTTTTTAATGGAAAATTTATTTGCGATAATATTTTGTTTTATAAAAATACATGAGAAAAAAAGTGTTAGCGGGACAAGAGGAAAAATCTGGCAACCATCGATTTTTTTACATTTTTATTGCATCAATGTTCGTACTCCTTGGTTTGAGTTTGATATCAAGAGGTTTTTGAGATCGTAGAACCAAATCAAAAGATAATTCAAGCTCATCCATGCCGTAAAGAGATTCAATGATAAAATTCCGCAGAATGTAAGACACCACTATTTTTTCCTCCATTAGAGCGAATTTTTGACCTAAAAACGAAACAAAAACAGTACAGCACTATGTAATTTTTCACGCATGAAATTCATCTTCCTGTTAAAAATTATTATAAATTCTTGAATGAAGTAGGTAGAATACTTCTTGATTGCGTTTCTAAGTGAAAAAAGAAAAAAGGACCTTTTGAAAATTGTTAAAATAAGTTAAATAAAGCGTGTATTTCACCCAAAGGAGCTTATTTAAAGTTCATAAAGGACACTTAATTTTTGAAACACAAAAATAATTGTAAATATGGCAACTGATGCTAAATTATTTTATGCCTAAGAGTGGAATGTCGTCACGAAAGCTCCTCTGATAACATTGTAAGTAAAAGTACTTACAATTCACAGGGAGGAGACACTAGCACTACACATTAGCATCTGTTTGGCGTCGTGAATCTTGAGATAATGTGCGCGCATTTCGTAACCCACGATTATTGAATAGTGTTGAATTATTTTCGTATTGCTGCTGAAATCCAATTTGATGTACTTGTTTTAACCTGTCTTGTCAACATCAAATTGCACTGAAATCATTACATATGGACTTCATTTTGCAATTAGGAGCTAACATTTTTGGTTCAGTCTAAAAACAACGTATGTACCATTAGTTTCCCTACGCACGTAAGTGTTTCTATGAAATCTAAGTGTTTCGTGAACTAGAGACATAGTTTCTAATTGCAAAATGTAGTCCATATAAATTCTAAGCTACTAATGGAAGTGAATCGATTTTGGAAGAAAAAATGTTAACATTTTGTACCAAATGTTAAGTGTTGGCTGGATCCGCACATCCGTAAAACAAAACCAAGAAACTACATAAATTAAATTCGATTTTTTAAATGAGACTCCATTCCGTACCAGTATTAGATCGAAGGGGTGAGAGAGGGAGAGAGGGTGGGGGGAGAGCATGCAGCCCCAGCAGTTTTATTTATTCTGATTTAGTTTGGAATGTACTTTTTACTTATTTTTCTCCTGAATTTGTGGACTCAGCATGTACCACTCTCACGTGCTGAATCTGTAATATTGCTACATCTAAAGTCACACATCTGTAGTATCTAGCTACAAGCTTACCGATACAATTTCTGGCTCCCGCCGCAAACGGCACGTATGCGAATGGATGTCGGCCCGTATTATTATTGCTGTTGAAGCGTTCTGGATCAAAAGTGTGCGGGTTCGGAAAGTATTTCGGATCTCGATGCAAACAGTAAATTGAAAGCGCCACTGTCGCGCCTTCTGGAATCGTGTATTTTCCTGCGAAAACCAAAATACGGTGAAAGACATTTCATGAAAGAACATTTTGTTCCAAATCGAAGCAAGTTTTCGCCGAAGACGCAAAAGTTGAACATTGCCTTAATTTGATGAACGTAATATTGGGGCATGGGAAAATCTTGTAATTCCACATCTTCCTGAATGTTATTCAATGCCGCCCACCCTCCTCCCCCTAAATAATTGCGTCAAATTTTCCCAAAGACCCTCATTTTCTCGCGAAGAATCCCAAGAATGTTGCCATTTTCATTATCAGCGTCATAAAATATTTTTTTAAAACATTGGCGCCTCCACCGATTTTCTCGTGACGTAACGTATTCTCAGACCCTCCCCCTTTCTCCGTTGCGTGACGAAATTATGAACAGACTCTCCGTGGCGTTATTCTAGTATGCTTAACTAATGATTTCCTACATTGTGGTCCTAAGGATGCAGGTATTCGTCGAACAACCAGCACAACCGAATGTCTCTGACTGAAAAATCCAAGGTGAAAAGTAAGCATGATAACCATGGTACTTCGATCATGGATGACGTTATAACCAACCGTGTTTTCCGGAAGGCAATTTATTTTATTATTATTTAATTGGAAGTAGAAACCTAGTGTTGGAACGCCATCTTTTAATAATTTTTACAGATTCATACCTTTTGACATAGTTGCGTATATGGTTGACTCATACTAATGAACGGAATTGGTATTTGCGTAAGCAGTAATTAGTCTTACGTACTCGATAGTTCCAAAACGTCGGGTTTTTTTCTGCTAATTATTGTAACCTTACCAAATTGAACGTCCTCTTTCACTTTCCTCGAGATGAGCGGGACGCTGGGGTACATTCGTAAGCTCTCCTTAATTACTTGCTCCAGATATTTCATGGCTTTTAAATCTTCCACGGTCGGTTTTCTATCGGAACCTTGGAAAATATCATCCATCTCTCGATAGCATTTCTCCTGCACATAGTAGAATTAATGTATTAAAAAATTAAGTTATGAATATGCCTAACTCCATGCACTCAAGTGGACATGGGCAAAGGTTTTGATAATGCGAGTTTGAACGGTCAAAGTATTGATATGAATGATAAATAGTGTTAAATATTTGTAGAGAAAAGATCAGCAAACAGTAAGTCACGTTAAATATTGAAAGATTTAATAGAAAATAATAATCTAATTGTGTTTTTATTAATTGACGAGAGCACGAGAGCAGCGATATAGTTCAACGAGGAATTACCGTTTAAAATAACCGCAAAACACAGATGAAATTTTTAATAATATCAGAGCAGCCCGGAAAATGTGAAAAGTAAAATTCTCATATTAGAATTTGCACCCATTCGCCACAAGTGAGGGAGGCGTAAAGGCTTCCATTATCATTCTTAATTGTTTCGTATTCAGTCAAGCATTCTTATTTTTCACTTGTATTTTTAAGCTTTTTCTTATTGCAAAATGAAACTTTCCTGCATGTCATTTTTTATGAGAAGACAGTGCTGCCCACTTTTGTGATAGGCGAAGGAACAGACTCGGTTGAAGCGATTACAGTGGCAGCCTAGCCAATTATGTATTTCGATGGTTAGTTAATGTTACATCCGTATTGGCACGTATGGAGCTGCAGTAAGACATGTACTTTACGGATACCGCACACATCTGTGTGTGTCAAATTGCCTATCTGAGAAGGACTAATTATAATATACTCAAAAATGATAAGTTCGTTGAATGACCAACATGATAGATTCGATCGCTCTTGTTTTATTTTTTCCCTCTGAGGAATGGCTTTCGCCTCCTCTCTATCAGTCCGGTGTAAATTCTAAAGTCCAAAAATACATTCAGGGTGACCTCATGAACTTATGTTTTCTTTTCTTTTTCCGTATCAACTTTCAAAAAGCTCAGATATCTTAAGAATAGTTATTATACGACACAATCTTACCTGAACATCAGGATGAATACCCAGAAGGAAAAGAGTAAAACTCAAGGATGTCGCTGTTGTGTCATGCCCCTGAAACAAATTTCAAAAATGAAAATGTATATTTATCCTCCCGATTGGAACATTTTCTAACTTAGGAATATTATTTAGAAGACGTTTTCAAATTCAGGCATATCAAAGCAAATAATAATTTATGCACATGCGCATGTCCTCTCCCCTTGATTCAAAGGGTGAAGTGGACCATTACTTACAATACACAATAAGAGATACAGCATCACTGAATACGTATCCTTGTCAAAACTTAATGAAAAATACGTTGAAATAATTAAAAATTTTAAACATTAACTCATTCTCGAAAGTTTAGTATTTAGTGTTTTTTATTAAAGTTGTGAAACATCTGAATTTAGGAGTACATCAAACACCCATGTATCATGTATATTTGTAAGTCAAATTTGAGAATTTTCATTGCATCTATCCTTTTGTACGTAAATTTTAACGAGGAAAAATGTTTTGTGATGCTTGATTTCTCACTCCGATCACAGTGACCCATGTTACCCAATGAATAAGAAATGTAATCATTAGACTGTAAGACTGTTTACTAGATCTTACATTAGGATGTAATATTAATGGGAGGCTAAGGATGTTTTCCTCTTACGGCAAAAATAAATGTGTTGACTTCATCTCTAAGGCCCTCATCTGATAAGGGCTTCGTCCCAGAATCGTGAGCCTCCGTCAAAAGATCCAAGAAAGCTAGTCTTCTCTTCACTGAAACATACCCAGATAAATACATATGCAATCCTGTATTCTAGAATTAGGATATCAAATATGAGAAAAAATTCGTGAAAAAGATATGCATTTAAAGAATTAAGACACTATTGTTCATGTAACCGTCCTCGGGGTAAAAGACATATTGAAAGCCGCGAAGAGTTTAACTGAACGAGATTGATTAAAAACAGAATATAAATAAAACAGGTTCTCTTTACTTTAAAGAGAACCTGTTCTATTCATATTCTGTTTTTCTCCTAAAGAACTCTTTTGTCTGACTTTATCATATTTTACTACATGTTTAACATTTTTCTTTCTCCTTTTTTTTCGATTTCTCATGCACGAGGAAAAGTTGTACAAGTTGAGCTCAAAATTGCCTTTTACTTATTTTCCAAAATGTGGCGAAGTCTATTTCCTTCCTGGCTATGTCCCGACTATTTCCTTCATGTCTTCTACTCCAAAGTGAATTAATAAAGGATGGAGCACTTAAAATCTGCTGAAAGAGAGAACGAAAAGTCGAACGAACGATAAGCGCGGATATTAGGCTCATTGTCAGATCAAAATTGTTTAACGTCTTTACAAACGAAGAGCCAACAATTTAAGTGCAGGGCCGGATGTAGGGAGTGGCCATATGGGCCGCGGCCCATGGCGGCAAATGTAGGGGGCGGCAAATTTTGCAATGTTTTTAAATGTAGGTATTAAAAAAATCGGATTTAGAAAAAAAAATTACAAACGAGAAAAGGCGACAAAATCTCTCATTTCCTGAGAGTATAGTAATTTCTAATTTTGTCGTCTTTCAGTAATACAAGAGACAGCACCTTCAATTAGTCGAGTGAAGAGAGAAACCAAACACGCAATTTGGCCTGGCCGGAACGGCGCGGCCTAGAAAGAAATGATGACGAGGACTTGAGAAGAAAAGCAGAAGCCCTCGGCGCGGCGGTCGGCATGTAACACATATTAGGGCCCTTAAGACTGCATGAATACTTCATGCATTGCATCAAACACAGTGCGGTCACTGCGGTCAGCGTGAATCGCATAGCGCCTACAAGCCTGCGTGAATACTTCACGCATTGCGTCAAACACACTGCGTTCAGCAGCGGTCGGCGTGAAACGCACAGCGCCTACAACACTATAGGAATACTGCACGCATTGCGCCGAACACAATGTGGTCTGCGCGGCGCGGTGGTGGAAGTTTAAATCATTAAACCACATTTATGTTTGTTCTTCCATAATTTTTTCGTCCATTTCTGATATATGGAAGACTTTGACCACACAGAGATAGGTTTACGGAACTTAACTTTCGCGCAAAGTTCCATGAACTTTTGCTGATAGTGTTGACAAGGCTTTCTAAAAAAATGTGTCCAATACGAGTAACTGCGCCTTAAGCACCCCTCCCCCTCCGGCACGTTTACTTGATGGTTTTTATTGATGTTTCAAAACGAATGAGAAGGGGACGGCAAAATACAGGCGGCCCATGGGCTGGCAGTAGGTAAATCCGGCCCTGTTCAAGTGCATGATTAATACAATTAACTGAACGTTTGTATCAAAAAATAATATGCTGATATAATTTGATTCACTAAATTTTTAGATGTGCATTACCTTTGATTCCGTCATCCTCGCCTTCACTTTGTTCTTCAGTTGTGGCAGTTTTTTTGTTTTTGCTATTCAAGATTGCCTGAAAAAGTAACACCAACGTTTCATTCAATCTGTTTTTAGGAGTACAGAATACCAAAGATACATTTATAGAAATCTTGAAAATATAAATTCAGGAGGAAAAGTTCAGATTTTTTTAATTTTAAAACTCGAGTTTACCTTTTCTCCGGATAAATTTTTTAATAAGTCAAAAGAAAAAAAGAAAACAGACAAGGACATTCTTCGATTGTTCATCGTGTCCATTATTCTGTTATTCTTTTAAATTTTAATTTCCATTTTTCGAATTCATTTCGTCACAAATTTAACTCATACCTAAAATACAGGAAGTTTCATTGTGATGTTACATGTCACAATTTGATCAAAATTAACCGATGTGATTATTTTTAAAGGTTATATTTTGTGTTCTCGTTTTAAAGAAAAAAGTGCTTACCTTCTTTGCGAGTTCGAAGATTTTCTTCAAGCTGCTGGTTAATTTCCGACCCGTCGAAGTGAAATAAAATAAGCCGTTCCAAAACCAGGGTTTCCCTATTCTGATGGCAATCGCGTGTGCTGCACTGCTCAATAAGAAACCCAAAAAAAAACGGGATCAAATTTACCTTGTAATTTAGACGCCAAGGAAAAGAATAGACATGATAAAATTCCACACAATATTTCTACCCTCAGAACTTTTCCTTCTACTCAAACTTCTGCTGTGACAAATTTTTCAACTCTAATTTTCATAAATTCAAAAGTATTCTCCTTCCATGAATATTTGAATCTTCTTGTATGTATTAGTCTACCACGTTTGTAAGGTCCATTTTGTTACTTAGTATCTTTTGATCGTTAATCACAGACGTAGAATGGGATATTGACAACAAGAAAGTGTGGAGTTTGCGATTGTTCTTATTTCGCCTTCAATTTTCGAAGTAGATCAGATAACACTTTCCAAGCATCAATATTGTTATCTATTCGACAGTTTGTGTCTTGATTTATTTACAACTCCTGCCCCGCAATAAAATGTCAAACTTTAAATTACAATCAGCTTTTCATTTCTATTCAAGTTCCTTTAATCTATAATTCAAAGAACAACGTGAAAATATGAGTTTTTCCGAATTTGTTTTTTTCGGGGGGGGGGGGGGTTGAAAACACCATCTTGGGAGGAGAAAAAGGTCCTCAGGAATCGCATATTTTAAAATTTTCGTGTAAGTACTTCTAGTGATGATTTTTTCAAAGTGCGTGCATTTGGTTTGAATCGAGTAAATCAGCCACTGTAAAATCACTGCACTGGCTTGACCCGATGTGCAGTGCATGGTTCTATCCCGACCTTTTCAATTAAACGTTATTATTCACTTAATCTTTAAATACTTACTCCTCCACTGCTTGAATGTAGTCAAGTTTCGGATTATTCAGCGCATCGATTTTAATTCCCATTGCTGATTCTAAAAGAAAATTAAATTCAAAAATCATTTTTAGGTACACACGTCAACAAGATAATTTGAGCAGGGATTAAGTTATAGTTAGTGGCGCTCCCTAACCTGGCTTATACCAAACTGGATTTTCTTATCCTTCTTTTTCTTTTTTTAAATCATGTTTTGTAATTTAATGTCTTTATGACGCTTTCAATCATTGTCAATTTACATCGATACAGCTAGCACGAATCAATGAGGTGTACTATGATGAAGCATTATGTCCTGAAATATGAAAAAACTGATGTCAATTTGAAGAGCTAATCTGTAAAAAAGGGAAATCTTGGACATTTTTTATAAAAAAAAAATGATTGCCATAAAATGGCTCGATAAAAGAGAACCTTGGTAGGGGGAGTATAGACACTAGAGAGAAGGGATCAGTATAATTACAGCCTAGCTATCTTTGGCGTTGTATGAAATCCAAAAAAAAAAAATGGTGAATGTCGCATGTTAATGATGCAAAAAAAACTGAAAAAATGGTTTTATTTTATTTTATTACCGTAAAAATCACTCAGATTATATAATTAGATTTGCTCATCTACTGCGATACTACCAGACCACGTATCTCGTTTGCGGTATTCAAAAATCTCCACTCACGTTTTATTTTTTTGAAGAAAACCAAATCAATATCATTCCTTGAAATTTTTACAGAGCTTTCTCTGCACGAAGAGGAAAAATCACGGAAGTTTCAAAGAATTGATGTTGAGTGGTTTTTCATTTAAAAAATAAAGTCTGACAGGAAGTGTACAACGTCGCAAACCAAGACTGGTCTGGTGGTTTTACCGTCGTCATTCAGTACACAGCAATTCCTAGCTCCACTGACTAAGAGCGTATCTCGATTTTCACATGAGCCCTGATCCACTTATAAATGCATGCTTTCTAGAGCTCATACGGAAATCGAGATACGCCCTTACGTCAGAGGAGCGACGAATTTTGTGCGATGAATTCGGAAAAATCGTCTCATCAAAAACCTCTAAATTGCAAAGCTTAGCACATGACTTTAGTAAAAAAGAAGCAAAAATCGCCTCTCATCGATAGTAATCGCCTTATTATTATTATTTATTTATTTTTTTTACCCTTCGGATCATCATGAGACCCAACATCCGTATACCCTTCACAGCTGTAAACGCTCGATAATACATTTTGCATGCAAATATTATAAATAATGAGGTATGTGCGAAAATTTTGAAACGTCGTGATAGATAGAGTGCTTTTAGGGTTTATCCACCGCGTTCGTGTCCACTCATGCATTGCCGTGATAAAGCTGGGAATTGAACCCCGACGTAGCTATTTAAGCGGTGTGAATAAGCTTACCGCAAATGTTATCTAAAGCCACCAGATGCATCACCGTGTATATATTCAGGGGCGACTCTTTCGGGTGTTCCCGGAGCTTTTGGACGAGGGCGATCGCATTTTGAACCACATTTTCGTGGAGAGCATTCAGCACGTTGAAATGAAAGGCAGGCGTGATTAGCTTCCGTCGCTCGTGCCATAATGCACCTGTTGACACAAAATTATTTATGAGTGAATAATGTAACTAAGCCATAATTACACATAGATTTAACTAAGTTGCGCATCAAAAATTGGCTCATTGTTAGCGCACCGAAAAAAAATTCCGGCTGAGGAAGCTGTATACTAACGGGCTGTATAGACATCCGCGTTCCGGGCTCAGAGGCCGAATGTTCCGAGCATAGCACCCGGAGCAGTCGGAGCTACGGCTACAGCACCCCGAGCTTTCGGCCTCTGAGCCCGGAACGGACGGTCTGTCTAAATGTATAGCCCGTAACGTAAGTCCGAATTCGTTAAACTGATGAAGGTCACCAAAATCGACTTGACGGGCACGAGGCCGCTGGCACGCTAATTGACACACCTCCGTCTAGGATCAGAGAGCGCCGCCGCACAGTCGAATGCTCAATTGAAAGTGGTCGTACATTAAATTTTGGACTAAAACTGCAAATTTTGATGCATATTTTGTCTCAATTTTTATTTCAAGGAGTGTTTCTCAAGAAAATTTTGCGACAAAATCAATTGAGCCTTCTTCAAACTTCTGCGTCCGTATTAAGAAAGATGTAAGCGTTTAAAGTTTCTAAATCATGATGCCTGACCTCTCCTAAACAGACTCCCCACTGTGCGCCGGCAGCAGGTTCCCGGACACCCGAGTTTGTCTATGCAAATCTTTCCGAGACCAAGTATCTACATCAATCTGACGATCCTATTAAGCGAACGATACACAAACGCAGTGTTATGCTAATTCATTAAGTATTCATCGCTGAGGAGTCGACCGACATCCGGACAGGTGTGAATATTGTTGCATATTTGCGCCTGTCCACATTGAGAAGGATATCATTACGAGACGGAAAATGGATCGTATTCGATACATTAAAGAAGTGAGATTGTATCGATATCGATTGATTCAATATGTAAACACAGCCTTCAAACTCAATTTAGAAATCTGAGAGAACGGGTCTTTTGTACAGATTTTATATTCTTTTAAGTACCAAATGCCAATGGAAAGTGAAATTGTTAGGAATTTTCTCATTTTCAGCTTTCCCAACTGAAATCCTAAAATTTTTTATTGAGGTGTTCTATTGCATTGAACCGAATGATACATCGAACCACTATCGAATACGGTCCACTTAAAAGTGAAGGGATGGTATTATATTTTAGCGATGACAGTGTTAAGTTCGAGGAATCGCGCTTTTCAGCTCATGTAACCGTACTTCACTTCATGTAACTGAACTTTAAAAATAGTTCTCTTGCACGAACCAAGCTGTAGAAACAACTCGATTGCATAAACTAAATATACTGTTGCCAGAACCGAAAGTACGGTCACATATGGACCACAAAGTGCAACCGTCACGTAGGTAATGCCGTGCATTTGACCAAAGTCTTTCTCTCGTCGCAGGACGAATTTATTTACGAAAGCGCAATTTTGAAAAAATCGCATTTCGAAATGAAGCAGTGTAATGAAGTCTGCGTCATTTATAAAATTAGATTTTTATATAAATCTATTTTTTAGAATTGCACTCAGTCAATAATAGTCCGAGAGCCAGACGACTTTGAGTGACAAACTCGGGATACATGTTTTGACCCCCTAAATCGATAGCCTTGCATGCACTGAAACGGAAAATTTTTGTCTGCCGCCCTCTAGCCTGTGCCATCACCCTCATCTAGGCCCTCAAAGTGGTCCAAAAAACACCATCTGGTGACAAACTCCTGACGC